TCTCAGTTGGTCAGTCAGTCTGTCAGACAGGTTATCAATTAATCAGTGAGTGGGTTAATAAAGCGGTGAGTCGGTAAGTCATTCAGTAAGCTATTCATGTAATCAGTCATTCACTCCAGTCTCCAAACGCTCCTCCTGTCGGTTGTTTTATTCTGCCCATAGCTTGTTAGAAATAACAGAGAAACAGCAACAAGAATTGGAGAAAGAGGCGAAAAGATCACATTTGACCTTGGAAAAAACACAGAAGACTTCCGAGAAGCGAGAGAGATCGTACAAAGCAAAGCTGGAGGCCTTAGAGAAGCAGGTAATTATTTGAAAAGTCTCAACCCAACAGTAAGCATAGGCTTTTTAATAATTGTTTGATATTCTGACGTCGCATGAAGCTGATATATCGTACTAACTGGATTGGGAGACTCCATCTTTAATTTGTTGCCTCGTTTGTCTCCAGATCTCAGCACTGTTAGTCGTCATAACAGAGCAAGCTCAACTATGCTTTTTAATTGATGTTTTAGGTTGCCTTCCTCCAAACTGAACTCCACAACGAACGAGAGCAGAAAATGGTGCAAAGTAACAAAGCTGCCATAAAAAGCGATGAAATACGAGAGGTCCGGCAATCTTTGGGTAAATCACTTCAAGCAGTCGAAGAGGATGCGAACAACCTTCGTAGTATGCTCGGAAAATCACTTCGTAAAATCGATCGTTACACCGAAGCTATCCGATGCAACGAAGCACCTCTACCATCCACTGACACAGAGGGATCAACTGCGGATACGTTTCCTCGTCAACAAATCGATCAATCATCGGAAGAGGCGAAGTCTCTCCGATCGACAAAGAGAGGTACAAGGTCGGCCTCACATACGAACCCTAGGGAACGAAGCAAATCTCATGGACTGCCATCTTCTACCCGAGCCCCATCTTCGGGTGTTATTGTGAGAAACTCTAGAAAAGATTACGAAGATGTGGCGTTAGAATCCTCGCCCGAAGTTCACTCGCCGCTTCGGAGGTACAGAAAAGAAAAGAAATCTGTAAATTAATATTAAAGGTGTGCGTATTTTACCACAATGTGTCAAATGGATTGTTGTGTACTGCCATTTGAGGTAAAAAGGAAAGAGTGAATTGTGTAATAATCTATCTTGGAAAGCTTGGGAAGCCGGATGTATTTTAAATGATGTATATAGTTTTAATTCGCATGGGGTGTGATGGAGTAGAAATCAAATATCTGTGAACTGCATGATTGCCGGCGAATTTTCAGTCAAATACTATGCCAACGGAATTTATTTGGACTAAAACAGTTAGGCAGGATTTTACTGTGTTTTAGAAAATGGAATTGTTTTTTGTTTTTTCTTGTTTTTACGCGCTTAAGATGGCCTATGTTGACGATATGTACAGTTGTGTCATTATCATTCTGTAACTTCACCCAAAATACTTTTTTTTGCATTTAGATTTTTTAAAATTCTACTTTAATGTAGCGACAAACATATCATTATTTACCCTGCGCTCTGTTTTGCTTTTTGAATTTCAACCTCTCAGTTTGTCAACAGTTGATTTTCAAAAAATATGTATTTGCCACGATAAAAAGTTTCGATATATCTCTAAGAGAAAATTGTACGTGTACCTGAGATAAAATCACAATGCACAATTTGAAATAATAAACTTTACACTTGCGTCCATAATTATATTTTGTGGTATTCGTATCTACGGCACGCGCGTTTTTGAACAGAAGAATAATTTAAGAAAAGACTTATACCAACCATGTTACCGTTTGTTCAGCTTGTATGAACCGTATCCTCTCTGACTGCTTTGCAACTTTCAATTAGAACATAGCTAGCAGAGTCGCGCAATCAAATTCATTATACGTAAGCGTGCTCAAAATCCCGATAGTGCACGCTGATAGCGTCAGCAAATCCGACTTCGCCAGAATTTTTTTTTCGCGCGAGCGGCCATTGCTAGTGCGGGGAAAAATANGTGGGTGTGGGTGTGGGTGTGGGTAAGAGTCGTGGGTGTGGTTGATACTTAATAATAAAAATAACCATTTAAAATATTAATTAGAACATAGCTAGCAGAGTCGCGCAATCAAACTCATTATACGTAAGCGTGCTCAAAATCCCGATAGTGCACTCAAGAAGCTAGAGTTGCCCTCGGCTATCGCCTCGGGCAACTCTTACGCTTCTTTCGTGCTCTCGAAACTTCCCGCGTGCTCCATAACTCGATAGTGCACGCTAAAGCATGAACCAATTGTTAAGGATAGTTTCGTTGCAAAATTTTGAACGGGGGTTTTTCTGCGTTGATTTAAATGAATTTATTGTCAAGTGCTTTTAGAAAATAAAGATCAAACCGTTCTTCCCGTAGTATTAACTCTTTTGTGATTTAATGTTAAAACATTTCTGAAAAGGAAATTCGATAAATCAACAATTTTTTATGACTAAATAATCTGTTGGCTTACTACATGTGGTTCGACGGAAAGAGGGTGGGACTGAATACATTCCCGGATGTCCTCGTAGTCGTAAGTATAAGATACAAGCGATAGCTCCGGTTCGAAAGGATTGTCATATTTAGTTGTAGGAATTTCACAGCTTGAAACACAGAGAGGGTTGAAGGACGCTGTTTGTGACACATTCTAAGAAAGCCTTGTGGTTAATTTAGATGCTGTGGAGGACAGCTGGTAAAAAAAGTACTTAGCTTTTACAAAAGAGACTCTTGACTCTGAGGATGACGTTCGCACAGGTTGTCGAAACGTCAGTCACTACCACCGACAACAGTCCTTCTCAGGACTACACTCACCCGGACGATCAGACTACACCTTCACATGTAACCCCCGGGTTCAAGCCATTTACTGCATTGCTCAAGGTGTGTTAAGCAGTTTAGTGTCTTATTGAAATCAGATAAGACTTTTTTCTTAGATTGTCTCGAAATCTAATCAAAAGTGCTAGAAAAGAGTAAGGATTTCGTCTTTATAGCATACTTAGGTCTACTTAGGCCTCAGAACCATAGAATTTACCCCAATTAGCCATTCCCTCCTCTCCCCTCGATTTGACGGCATCAATGTTGTGAATATGTTATCCTTTTTAGGTGCAAGTTGGAAATAAAAGCATGCACTTTAAGAAATAACCACTCGTTCATCGCCTACTGTTTAATTGGATTTGGTCCTTGGTTATTTACTGACGCAACATAAATATGACTTAAATCTCATTAATTTTTCATTGGGGAGAGGTCAGAGTTGCATTTCCGTGCGAGCATGGAGTTGTCGCATTGCGACACAAGTTATAATCATTGTATTTATTCTCGGATTTTCAAATGAAAACTCGAAGCAGCTAGATAAGTCATGTAGTTCCACGTCCGTTTTAAAAGCATGCTATGTCCGCCAGTTGAATCTCACTAGTTAATTATACTTACAAAGTGATTCTGTCTTATGCAAACGAAGCTAGCAGTTAATCATTATTTCGATGCCTCCAGCCAATGCCTGTTGTTAACGCAGCACCTAGGCAACCATTTGTCCTCACAAGAATTTCATGGGATTACTAGTTTATTTGTCGCCTTTTCAGGTTTGGCACATTTTGCCAAGTAAACTTCAAGTTCAACGAAAGTTTAAGGTTGTCACACGTGTGATTCAAAGGGAGCAATCACAAACATTCCTTTTGTATTATGTGGATTTCTAAAGAAGCAAAACACAATGGCGGATATTGTTATTAGGAATGGTTACAACGGCTTCGTCCACAAAGGCCACAATTCTAGCTTTAGCAAACCTCATCCGTCGTTCAAGAACAGACTACCACCATTACCAAACGACAAATATGGTGTGGTTTCGCCCGAACGCGGCTTACAATCTCCTTTCTTACAAGGTTCGCTGTCAGATCACAGCAACACAGATATTGTTATTCTGTTGGACGACGAAATAAAACGAATTCGCCAATTGAGCAACAACCTTGGGATAAACCATCGCCACGAAATAGCTCAATATCATAACCGCTTTCACGGCCTCAAACAAGGCGGCCGACTACCGCAGTTAGAAAGTACGAAATGTTGGAGACAGAGCCACAACTGGATAAAACGCATGGATATTATTGGTAGAGGTGACACTCCAAAAATCCAGACTGGTTTCGATTTCAAAGCCGCCGGAAAATTCAGCTTGGATTTGGACAATTTGCCGAAGGGAAGAAAGAAGGTACTTAAACCTGTCGATATACCATCGCTTGGGTGTTCGTACAGGTTGCCGATACCCAAGAAACAAAAACAGAAAACTACAATGACAATAACGTAGCGCTTCGAGATATTTGGTGACTTCGTTAGGGTCGCATAGGTTACCATAGCGCACTACTCTAAGATACACATCTCTTGGCGTATTTCCTATTTTCTTTGGTCCTCATTTTGTCGAGCCGGTGCAAGTTTATCGAAAAGAATAATCAAAAGTTTTGAAGAAAAGTGTGGAAAAAGTGTGCTACAATCAGATCAACTACAGAAAGGATCTTTAGTTTTGAATAGTGCAAGTGCTTGAACATGAAAATTGTAAATTATGATTATTAACGGTTTATTTGATCACCTGAAAGTAGCGTGAACGGGGCTCATACAGGAAACAGAATATTAAATGTGAACTACACACATACATCTAGGATGTTATATTTCAGTCGTTCAGTGCTCTTAGGAGCTCGTGAATCGCGAAGGTCACGGGAACTCGTGCACACAGGGAAAACCGTAAACCTGCGTGTGCGCTACAAATTCTCTTTCATATCAATTAAAAGGAAATCATGATAAATTAGCCACTAAATTAATAAATTTAGCTTTCCTATAGCGTAAGAGTAAATATTGAGGATACTGTCCGTAAAGACAGGAGTTAAATCCACTGATGTCATCCCCTGGTCTGATATCTAAACCTGTCGGTGGAGAACCTCTCTTTTCATGTTGACCCTGTCGGTGTCTATTTATATTATCAGTCCTCTCCATCTCGTGTTTTTATCCTTTAACAAAGCACTTTATAAGTAGTAAAAGTACAAGCGATCAATATGTTGATGCATACTTTAAAACATTTTTATATCATCTGTTGCGTGGCCTTACCCTGCTGGAAGAGAATCATTTCCTGTTTCTCAACAGCAATCTTGGTCTAGTAAATAGATCCTACCAATCAATATGATTTTAATGAAAGCGACAGAACCAATTTGATTTATAATAGCTCGATAGAATAGTTTTATCAAGCCATGGCCAGCTCCTTCCATATAATGGCCTTCATTTAAATTCATAGTGATAGGATCTAGGTCTGACAATTTGTTTGGCACTGGTGAATCAGACGGTTGGTAAATTCATTTATCTATTTCTTACTTTTCTAAGCCTTTGAGTCCCTCAGTTCATGTAATGAATTGTGGAAGTAACCTAATTTGGTAAGCTTTCGGTGTTCAGTGTTAAGACGCCCACTTTTCGGGTTTTTTATTACGAAGTCACTTTTTACAAACCCAGAGAGTTTTGGTTCATATTTCAAGCTCTGACGATACGCTCTAGTGAAATAGCACGGTGCATCTCAATTTTATGAAATGTTATCTGATCTTGGCTAACAGCCCACGAATTAAAGGTATTCACTGAGACAAATTTAGTGATACTTGAGTCTTACAGAGAAAAAAGCTGCAGATTCTTCGACAAATAACGCCATATGCCTCATGGAAGTCACGGATTCTTAAACTGTAGATTAGAAAGTTCATGGCAGAGTTTGACAGAGCAAGAGTCCTAATCCACATGTGAGCGACTCCCTGGGGTTGGACAAGCGCCTTGCCAGCCACGAACAAAGTGATAACTAGTGGAAACCAGCAAATAGTGAAAACAGCGATCACTATCGCCAGAGTGCAGGCCACACGTACCTCAACTCGAGAACTGACGTGCACCGAAAGTGCCTGCCCCTTATTCTGGCGTCTCCTGTTCTTTAATCTTATCAAAAATATCATGATCAACGCGTAGGACACTATGATGATGATGTAACTCGCGGCGAAGGTCCCTGCTCCTAGTAAAGCTTTTGGGAAGGAATCTGGAATTACAGCGCTCATAACAGGGACCGCCAAGGAGAAGGTCCAACAAGCTATGAGCATAATCTTGAGTCCGTAGTTCTGCATCATGATCTCATGACTGAGAGGATACGTCACAGCCAACAAACGATCCACGCTGATCGCTGCTAGGTGCACCACTGAGGCAGAGCAGGATACTCTGGATGTTATCTTGTACACTACTTCCAGGTTGGGTGCACAGTCCTTGACGAACGTGATCTTAGCGAGGATGGCCACAACAAGAGGCTCACAAACCATGGTGACGATCAAATCAGCGATGGCCAAGCTAACCAGAAGGAAGTTTGATGGTCGTCGAATACGAAGATTTGTGGCAACTGCCACGCAAACCATTAAGTTACCAAATGTTCCGAAAACACCCAAGATAGAATTGACTGATATCAGAGTGATACCATGAGCAACTGGAAGAGAACAATCTTCATGTGAGACATTATACGCTGGGTAATTCACAGTGACATTCATAGCGTCTGGAAAGGTCACACAGACCGACACGACAGCTAGCAAAGGAAACACGAACTAAACGGAACAGTCAGTGTTGTTCGTTATTACCAAGTGCTTCAGTATGACAATATGGTGAAGGCGAGGCAGGAACATAAAGAGTATGTGGGCAGGAAAGTGGATTTGCAGTATTATACCAATATTGTCTATTTGCGGTACAACGCCTCGGCAATGTTATTCGACCATTAGCCAATGGTACTCTAAATTTTCCGTGTGAAGTAGGTAAAAAATCTTAATTGACTGACACGAAATGAGAGAGCATTTTTTTTAAGTCACGCTATGCGTGTGAGAGCTCTATGGAAAAATTTCACATTGCCTTTAGCCGACACACCTGGTTTTCCAATATCGATCTGCTCAACACTTTTCAAATATTCATGCAGAAAACCTCCAATAACATTTCAGTAGAATGATGTTGGTGCTTGAATAACATAGAATCAATCTTGGCAAGATTCCAAAGGCCCATATAGCTTTTTATCTGAAATGTTTTCCTCTCAATCCTTAATACCTCGAAGTAGATTCAATTACGATAAGAGAAAACTGAAAACGCTTTAGCTTGTATTATTTTCTTGTGCTTTGAACTCATGATAACCCTTCTAAGGTTCTTGTAGCTGGCCAGTATAAGTTG